AGATGATCATATCAATTTTGTGCACTTTTCAAATGTATTTAAAAGAATGAATCAATTTATAAACTCAATCTATGTAAACTTACGTTCTTCATTATCATCGTCTTCAACTTTATCTAGATAATCTTCATCGTAATAGAAACTTTCGACTTGATAACTTTTTATGGTTTGATCAATTGAATGAACCCATTTTTCATCATTAATATCATTACTATTGTCTTCTGAATTACGTGTGAACTGTTTAAAGGATTGGCAAGATTGATGTAGTTTTGATTTGCCAGTTTCAAAAAGTTTCTTTGTAATTTTACTATGGATATTAATTCCTGTAGAAGGTATACTAGATCCATTTCCCATTTTCTTATTCTTTATAAATACGTACTATTAAACTGCCTTACACATAAATTTTATTGAACAAATGAGTGTATATGTACTATACTCGTTGACAACGTAAACTGGACCACAATTTGTCAAACAATTTATTGGATTGACCAATCGTCTGAATATGTTTGTTAAACTGCATGAACCATTTCAAGAATGCAGGGATATATATGTATCTGCATATGTATACGTGATCAGAAATAAGTCTCCTATTATTATTACTACGTATATTATGCAAATTTATTCATATTGTAACTGGCTAATTGCATTGAATCGAACCATGGTAAAGGTTGGTGGGTAACAAGTAAACAAAACTTATCTCAACATTGTCATATTCTGAATAAGGGATAATAAGTATTTGGAATAATAAATATTATGAAGTTAGCGTAACAGATCATATTTTTAGAACTGTAGTAAGAGATGTTCATTTAAAAATATCAATTAGTATGGTCAATGTTTATTTTTGTCGATGATGACGTGACTACTTCATCTAAATTCACTTAGAGATTTACGTATTAAAGTCATTAATTTTTAATCAGTTTACATTTTTTAACGTCTGAAGATACTTAAACTTAGGGTATAAGAATTATAAACAAGATTTTCATCAGTACTATGCTTACCCAACGTATAAAATAAAAGTTATTGAGAAGAATTGAAGTTGTATATATAAATGTCGTGTAATGGAAATATGAAGAGTTTAACAAAATTATATTATTTCGACCAGATTAGTGATTAATTTATAAATTAATTAGTTATGTAAGAAACGTCAATGAGCCCCGTTTTTGTCCTATTTGCGACTCCTTGTATGGATATACCTAAATACCGTTGCTGATGTTCACAGTGAGACTCGAACCCAGAACTTCAAGCTCCAAGCACTAGCAATGACTCTTTTTTCAGTGTTGTTTTCTCGTTGTCTTCATCCATTACAGATGATTACAGAATATTCCTCTATCGGTTGCTCATTCAGTAAGTATCTTAAACCATTGTCAGTCTAACTTGAGGTTTGGCAAACTGAAAACACTGTCGCACTGACTAAGGTCCAAGCCATTATCGTATACATAATTTCTGAGTTGTGCTCCCCTTGGTTACCATTTATGTTCTTTCTGATAATCATATGAGAATCACTCACTGTAAAGATTTATTTAGCCAGAGGCATCGTGCAACGCTACATCACCCATGTTTGTGGCACACGGGGTTTGTCGATTTCAACAATTTTTAATCACTCTATTTCGAACAAGTTGTTTTCTTACTTATGCGAAACTCGGTACTTGCAACTAACTTGTATGTTACATCAGCCGGTAAATAAAAATAAACTTGTACGGATATCATACGAATATGAACGTTAACTGACTATCTAATTAATACTAAAAATAATACCAATATCAACACTTCTATAACACTGATTATTCTACAATTTCTTGGCACGAATTACTTATACCGCCTACAACTTGAGCCATTAACCAAGTGTTTAACTATGCATTTTAATGAGACTTATTAAAATAACAGGAAATCATTCTAATCATTATAATTCCACTTTGCTCAAATCCTAAATAACGACGTGAATTTCTATTTTCCGCGTGATAAGAATAAAACCAAACACTTTGAAATTACTATATGCATTTCTCAACCAGTTGCTGCCTCCTTTTTCTGATTTACCTTTCAGCTTATCTATACCCGGAGGATTCTTGTTATTCTTTTGGTAACCTTCAACACGCGAAAATCCCACTCAATTTGGTGTCAAATCAACGTCACGTTGATTCTGGTGGAAGAGTAGTGTAGTAGCATTGGACCTTAACCACGCAACCTTTGAAGCCAAGCATATAATAATCGAAAAGTCTTATATTCAACAATCAAGACAAAGAAGAGGTTAACTATAGAGGACACGAGAACAATAATTTAATCAATCAGATGGCACGACTCAGCCTTGCAGGCGTAGTCATTTTTGTGTAAGTTATCTCCTTTATTAATATTAAGAATATTGTTCTATCTGTAATCTAACTGTCTTCTCCATCATATATTGGTGATTTCTATGATGAGTCAGTGTAGACAATGATGTGACTTCCACGTAAGATCCTATAGATTAGGTAGTCACATGTCTATTATTAGAGCAGTAATAATAACGAAGTATACCAAAATTCTACATGTGTAACTGTCTTCCTTTACGAATCGTTTTTAAGACGAGTAAAGTAATAGAATTAGGAACTAAATTTGCGAAGCTGTGACATTAGCACCATCGGTTGCTAGTAAACACTGAAAGACTTCTTAGATAGTAGAGTTTGCTCAGCGAATTCAGATGTATTTCCTCCATCTAGTTACACCAGGCTGTGTCATCAGTGGGCTTTCCAGTTTTCCGTGGAATCGTTCGACTACTCCATTGTCTGCTAAATGACATGCTGTTGTATTGAGGTGATGGGTGTGGAAAATGAGTGTGAATTCACTAGAGAGGTTCGATTGAATTGTAAACCTCTGACGAAAGTAACCGTAGAGGGTACATCTCTCTAGGGATACGGCAGCAATATTTTCTGTCGAGATGTCTTTTACCGGGCACCCTATTGGCCGCCTGACAAAACAGTCTTCTACAGTAAAGATATAAGTAAAACCGTCATATGAAACCAAAGAACCAACTAAATCGAAATGAATATGCTGAAAACGAGGATGGGGTATACTGAATGTTGGCGGTAATGTAATTATTGACATAGGAATTTCGCTGCACCGATATTGAAAGCAATTTCTGGTTCACTGCTTTATATCCGGGTTAATTTTCGGCCAAACAAATCTTTCTGAGGTCAGTCTCTCGAGAGAACGGACTCCTGAATGAGATAGTGGGTGAAGACGATCAAGAACGCTCTTCTTGTACACTATTGACACAAAAAATGTGTTTTCCTGTTGGAGTATTATGAAATTATTGTTTAGGCCAGTATTAGTACATTTATCTTTGGTACTAGAACAACGGACCTAATCCCAAAATTGTAGATTTTTCATGATGTGTCTTCCCAATCTATAAGATCTTACTTGGAAGTCTCATCATTGTTTATACTGGCTTATTGTATCGTGACAATCAACATTATAATGTTTAGCACTTCTGAAGGACATATTTGGTCTAGGGATAGAATAATATGCCTGATACGAATAGGGATTAGTTACACTGAATGACAACGCCTGCAGGGTTGAGCAATCCAACACTGAACAAGCTTTCTGACATCCAACATTTTGACCTTCTCTAGGTGTTATATGTTGAATGCAAATTTTCTCAGCAATTATTGCTCAGCATTAAAGATAGTGTGGTTAGGAACCAATACTGCTACATTATCACAACTTTCAGTAAAATTGGAATGTGGTATTGGAACACTGTTTACCCCTAGAATTGAATTCTGTTTACACTCAAAGAGATCAGAATCATCAGCCTGTAAACTCGCAGTGTCCATTAATTCTGTTTCACTGGTGGGGCGAATAGCTCCAGTAATGAGAAGTGATAGCCTATTTGCCATAATATTCGATTCAGTTTTTATGAACTGTATGTAGTCGATAACTGGAAAACGTTATCTAATTTTCTCATTTCTCTGGGGGAATAAAGTTCGCTTTTCATAATAAATGTATAAGTCAAAGGTGTGTGATTGGTGAGTATCACGAAATGTCTGCCTTGAAGTAAATGTTAAAAATGTTTAACTGCTAAGTAAATAGCCGATAATTCTCTACTGAAAGTGCTGTATCGCGATTGAATTGGTTCCAGTTCCTTTAAAAATAAAGGAAGCGCTTTAGTTTCATTATTTATTTATTGATGTACTGCTGTACCTACCACTCTCTGAGACGCGTCAGCACATAAAATTAGTGTTGCCTTCGGGTCGGGTCTTAGGTAGGTCAGTATGGTTGTGGGAGTAGTTGCCATTTTAGCAACGTAAATTGCATTCTTCGCCTTGAAAGATAAGATGAACTTTTCGACTTTTCTTCCTAACACTTCCATTAAAGTCTGTGTGTAGAGTAAAACGGCGATAAAAATTATTCTTCGCGAAGAAACGTCGAAGTTTACTCAGTGAATCTGGTTCTGGGTAAATTTCAGTGGCTAAAATTTTTTCATCTAATGGTCTGATTACATATTTTTTGAACAGAAGGCCCAAAACGTTCATGCTCTCGACGCATAAAATGCATTTGAGTGAATTGAAAACTATAACAAATATCAAATCGTTGATGTAGGTAATCCATGTGGCAGTAGAGTGAACTGCTAGCAATCATTATATAGTCAACGTACAGGAATGCAAAATCTAGGCTTTAGTGACCTCATTCGTAAAACATTGAGGTGTGTGCGCAATGTGTCTACAATCCGAATGGAATTCTCAGGAATTCAAACAAACCAATATGCAATTGTGACTGTAGGTATGACGTAAAATTACTTTCGGGATTTAAGAACGACAAGTTGGGAAGACAAAACGGAGTATCTACAAGTTTATATCCAGTTATCTGATAACCCGTATATTGTCCTACAGAGTTGTTGAAGCATGCAGCTCTATATAGTGGTAAGTATATTTGCGTGATTTTATTAACTTTGATCCAAGAAATCATCAGCTTGACAAATAAAAATGGTGTAACAGAAATGAGTTATATCTAAATTCTATAGTATTCATATGGTTTTTGTATTGAGTAAAGTGTTCCTTATCAGGTTTCGATGACCTTTGTTTGTATGCTCTAGTTAAGATATAAATGCTTTCACAAATTACTGTCAGATTTATGAAATTGTAATGTCTATGCGTTTGTTATTTGTCGTTTTGTATACTTTCGTTCTTTGGAAAGTGGTCCATCTTGAAAATGCAAGTGAAGTTTATTTCGAACCAAAGTCAGTTCATCTTCAGTCAGGTGGATTTAGAAAAGTATACATAGGATTAAAGTAGGTTATTAATTTACTTCGCATGATGAGTTTTTATCATATACCTCATATCTGTTTGTCTCTCATGACATTTATGTGCTCAGTGAATTGAAGTTTTTAGAGGAAATATCCAGTTTTGATATAGTATTGTTCAGCTACAACAGGTTGCTTTCTAAACGGTATTTATGATTAATGTGACGTTAGATTGTGAACCGACGAATATGGTATACAATACATATCGGACTCACCAGATTTTGCAGGAGAGCGCAGCCAAACTAGATGTTGTGGCCCTAGTTTTAATATCATAAGAGGACTTTACAAGTCATCATCCAATGTTTTTTATTCTTCATGACTATGATATCTCGTAGTGTCCGTGTTATTCTATAATTTTCTATTCGAAAATTTAGTGATAGATCATCTTGAGGCTAAGACTTGATAAATGTAATGATTCTGTTCTATCTGGATAAAATCCCAATGTGAATATGGTGGTTCAGACAAATGAAAAAGGTTTTGTATGGACTAACATTCTATACTTCACTAGTGTTTGAGCAATGATTGCAAATTAACTCGGTCATTATAAGACAGTGTTTCTGAATTTCCGAATTTTTTTTCAACCTGTTAATAAAGCAAGCTTTTGCAAAACTTTCACGAAGAAAACTGGCTTTAGCAATATTCAACATAAAATTTTGCTTTTAAAACATTGTTATAATTTAACAACATCATTAGCTGCAAAAGGCTTTGTTTTCAGAATTTAAGTGGTGCCTGATTGTTTTACATAGAAATGGTTTAGCTTCGGATAGTGCGTTTAGATGTACATGGAAATTTACTGCCTTGTATTAATTAGCCAGTTCGATCAAATAAATCATTACAATTTAAGTCTTACGTACTTGCAGTGTTATAAGAAAGTACATTTAAGTTCAGTGCAGAAGTGAATGAGTTTGGTCAGGTGTTAGGTTTTGCTTAAATGGCTTTCATACCAAACTAGACTTTCTGCCCTTTTTATAACTGTGACTCGAGTAGGAACTAGTTTAACGTATAGAAGCGAGCTTAATGTACGACTAACGACTGATGACTTCAACGTGTGACATCATTTACTGTCTAATTATCAGTTAGTAAAGTGCAAAGTGAATATTGACGTGATAACTGATTAGTCAGATAAATAATACTTGTTTTTGAGCTATTTAATGAAATGCTGATTTTCGCTATTTGTTAACTTTAATTATTTCCGTTTGTTATTATCAGTATTTTTTATTTTTCGTAAACAATGTTCAGGGGTACAGCAGAACATGATATTTTTCTTGAGTTTCAATATTGGGACCGAAATGGTTCTGTAATTTCACTAAAAGAACCAAATCATTCTGTTATCCGGCCCGTTAATAACGTAACCATAAGAAAGATGCAATCGGAACCTTCGAATTTCACCGTTTTTGCGAATACACCTGGTTATATATACTTGGGAATAAAGCCTGCTCCAAACGTAAACATTGTGAAGTAGGTGCATGCTCAGTTTGTGTTTACGTATTTTCATTAAAACAAGTTACTTTGCAATTTTACACGGGATCATTTAGAAAAACTCTTAAGGTATACATAAAAAATAATTGAGTATTTTGCACCGTTTTCATTAAGCCTATGGTGTTCAAATGAACGCTGTAGTCACTTCATGAAATAAAATTAATCAAGAGCGACTGAATATTTTAATATAAATAGTGCTATATTCAGCTGGTTGATATGTAGAAGAGCTTTTTATTAAAGTTTATTTATCAACAAGTAACATTCAAATCAGTTGTTAACAAATGAAAAAAGAGTATTATTTATTTATTAACATAATCGTTTTGTAACACACTCATTTGATTTGAAAATGCCTCATTAAATTGATTCAGATAAGACTATACTGACCGATATTTCTTAAAATGGCCAAGTGACTGTAAAATTTAGGAATACTGGCTCTGATTTTGTCTAATAAAAATAATTAAGTAAAAGTCTAGTATAGCAACGAGCTAATCATAGTCGACGACTTTTAGGGTTATATGCAAAATTACGAATTTGCATCAGGTGGTCAGTACAAATGTCTCTATATAGAATGTTTAAAATGAGGATGAAAAGTCACTTTTTGTCATTACAGAGTTAACAGTTGTGGTATTAAACGTGTCATATATTCAAGCGTTTATATGTATATTTTATCTAATCATTTGATTTTATCTTATAGCGCAGGTAAACCTATCTTTTCTGTAACTGTGGTGCATTTTCATTGGTTAAATACATTTCAAATTGTGATTGGCTGGATTTATTTTGCCGCTTGGACAGTTTCATTCTACCCTCAGTTCTTTTTGAACTGTAGACGAAAGAGGTAACTGATGGGTTTCATATGGTTATATTTAATTTCGGTGAGCAGATCGTCTAAGTATGAATTCTGCATAAGAATATTTGGACTTTACTATTTAAACAATTTCTTTCCCATTGAATTATCACGTAGCCAGTTTTTTTTATGAGAGTAGCATGGATTTTGAGTGTTACTATTTACTATGAAATTTTTAGTTGACTGAACAGAAAAATCCACAATCATTCAAAGTGTGAATAGTTTTATTCTTAAATCTACTTAATTAAATTAATAGAACTGGCAGTTGCACGGTAAAATAGTATTTCGGTTATAATTTTTACAAAATGTTCACTTTGTCATCCTTGTGTTTGCTAGTGAAGTTAAACAAAGCATTAGTTAGATTGTAAGCAAAACCATACAATTTACAATAAATAGGAAGCTCATTTAACCATAGTTATCATTATTACATATTTGTAATCATAAATAATTATTATTAATAATTGGAAATAATTTATTTGTGTGGGGATTTGTGGAGATTGTAGTATTTTTACAGTTAAATTTATGAGTCGATCTAAGTTAGACTATCACTGAAAGCACTGGACGGTCGTTTCGCCTTAGTATAGGACTCTTCAGCAGTGTACATCCACGATCCCGCAAGAGGGTCTCGAATCCAGGACCTTAGGCATCGCGCGCGAACGCTTAATCTCAAGTCCAGTGAGTCGGGATACAACGGTATTAATATCCTTATACTGATAACAATCATGTGGTCACTAGTGACTAGATTCAAGATGTAACTCCTGAAGTTTTAGTCAAAAGTTGTGACCGGTTGAGTGTAATCCGTGTAGGGTGTGAGACAACTATCCACTTCAGGCAATGGATGAAAGTTTGCGCAACACTTTATGGATCGATTGAAGTTAGACATTAATACCGTAAGATGCCGGCTCTGTGATCTTGAGGTTAGGCGTTTGCGAAAGACAGGAGGTCCTGGGTCTGAGTCACACTTGTGGGGTTGTGGATGTGCACTGCAGAGGAGTGCGCATATAAGAACAAAACAGCCATCCAGTATTTTTAGGTTTTCAATGGTCGTCCAACTTAGATCGACTCATGAATTCGACTATGAAAATAATTCATTCTCTAAATAAATGATCTACACCACATCATAAAACGTTAAAAGAATTTTTGTTTTATAATCATTAGGATATAATAAATATATCATTATTTTTATCCTTAACAATCTACACCAATGCTAAATTTATTTGAAATTATCAAATCAAGCCTTAGTGATAATATCAATACTTACTATCGTTTTAAATTGGGCATATATAGAAAAAGAACATTCATTAGAAAATTGCATTCCTGTGTAGTAACTTCTAAAAAACGTATATTTAACAATTTGTATGTCACTTATTTACTACTACAGCAACCTAAAAGAATCTACTTATCCACATGAATGAACCATACTCTGTAAATCATTTGTAATAAATACAAATCCAAATATTCATCTAAGCTCATTCAACACTATAAGAAGAAGGTAAATAGACTTGCGCAACATTTATTACGTTGATTATACATTTCGTTTTCCTGAATAACGTACCTCAAAACCTGCATCATGATCGGTGAAATAGATAATGTAAAAGTATCATATGATATGTATCTGCAGGGAATTATACGTTTGCATAGGCATTTGTTTCTTTTAAATTCTGGTTAATTTAAGTTAATTTCATAATAGTTCAATAAGCAGAATGTTATTAAGTGAATATAAATTTAACCTAAACTACCTTATTCACATTGGGATTTTATCCAGATAGAACAGAATCATTACATTTATCAAGTCTTAGCCTCAAGATGATCTATCACTAAATTTTCGAATAGAAAATTATAGAATAACACGGACACTACGAGATATCATAGTCATGAAGAATAAAAAACATTGGATGATGACTTGTAAAGTCCTCTTATGATATTAAAACTAGGGCCACAACATCTAGTTTGGCTGCGCTCTCCTGCAAAATCTGGTGAGTCCGATATGTATTGTATACCATATTCGTCGGTTCACAATCTAACGTCACATTAATCATAAATACCGTTTAGAAAGCAACCTGTTGTAGCTGAACAATACTATATCAAAACTGGATATTTCCTCTAAAAACTTCAATTCACTGAGCACATAAATGTCATGAGAGACAAACAGATATGAGGTATATGATAAAAACTCATCATGCGAAGTAAATTAATAACCTACTTTAATCCTATGTATACTTTTCTAAATCCACCTGACTGAAGATGAACTGACTTTGGTTCGAAATAAACTTCACTTGCATTTTCAAGATGGACCACTTTCCAAAGAACGAAAGTATACAAAACGACAAATAACAAACGCATAGACATTACAATTTCATAAATCTGACAGTAATTTGTGAAAGCATTTATATCTTAACTAGAGCATACAAACAAAGGTCATCGAAACCTGATAAGGAACACTTTACTCAATACAAAAACCATATGAATACTATAGAATTTAGATATAACTCATTTCTGTTACACCATTTTTATTTGTCAAACTGATGATTTTGTAATAAACAACCGAAAATCTCAATTAAAAGTCACCATTCAAGAACTTCTGATCTATGATTTACTAGGCACGTATTTTAAATAAACTGATCCTTTCAGGGTACTTGTATAATGAAGAAGAGCACAGGTGAGAAAAGCCAATTTACTGTTCAATATAAATTTGCACAGTGCCTTTGTGACATAAAAAATCATACATTAGGTGCATTATTTCTGTTTCTTACTCCAGTTGTCTTTTACATACTGCATGAATCTTCCAAATCTGTTGTTATTCCAATTGATTTCTGCTCATTCTTCTATTCTCTTCAATTCAGTCTTGTTCCGGCAGGCATTCCACTTCCAATTACTGCTACGTACTATTTATATCTGTAAACATAAGCAGCGCATACCAAATTAGTATTATAATCCTATTATGTTACTGGGAATGATTATAAAATTATCGGTAAATCGTCTCTCTTTGTGAATTCTCTAGTGGGATATAATGTAATGTTTTTTTATATGCAATTCAGGAAGTATTGTAATCAATGAAATTAAGCTGTAAGATTTGATTTCCTCAAGCAATATCTCGTTAAATTATTGGATAAATAATTATTTTGTTTTCTGTTCTAGTGTGGTTGGATTCAATTTCGACTTTGCTGTGTTGAATGTGATCGGATTTTTATTCTATAGTATCTACAATATTGGTTTATACTGGATCCCACTTGTTCAGGTTTGTGATATTAGTTTGATTGTCATTTATTGTATAATCTTCATTTCGTAGATGTTATTCTTACTTTTCGTTTCTATTTGATGCTGACAAAGTTACTTTGTGTAATGTTTTGTCATTAAGGTCACGAATTGAACTAATTCAGATAGTTATAGAAACCAGGAAGCACTGGAAAGCTTTTGTGAGCTAGTATGGAAGTCCTTACTAACGAGTATCCATGAATTCATCGGTGATGAGACCCTAGAGTTTAAGGTTACGTGGGAAGCTTCCAACGTTTTAGGCCAATTGATTGGTATTCACTGGAATACATTTCCTATTTCATTTGTTTGGCGATATTTAGGAGCCAACATCCGTTGACATTGATAAAATCTATCAACGGTCAGTATGGTTACAGTTAACTGGTCAGGGCTTCTCACATGAACTCCGGTTAAGTACTCGCTGCAAGGCCTGAATGTCCTGGGTTCAATCATCGATTGTGCAGTGTATGGGCACTGCTGAAATGTCTCATACTTAAAATAAAGAGTTATTCAGTATGTTTTCCGGTTTTTGATGGTTGTCTAACTAATGTCAAACCTTGATGTATAACTTCTAATTGGCTTTTAATTAATTGGGAGACACAACCAAAAAAAAGAAGTAAACGGGGACAAATTTAGGGTCAGTAAGAACCAATCAACGTCGAGGTATACAGAACAAGCTGTGAAATTCGAAATTCGAACACTTCACTTCTATCTGAAGTTTGTGCTGATGATGTCGTTCAGAAGAACGATGAAAGCTCCACGATCAAACCGTCCAGCTCAGAGAACAAAACTCCATCAAAAAGAACCCATTCCGTAAACAGATGTTTATCAGAAAGCTATTCATAACATCTTTTTCATCAGAGTATCTTAATCTTAATATCTTTTGAATATTTCTTACTTGATATAAAACGGAAGTATTGGGTATCCAGTAAACTACAGTCAAGAGTTTATGATTAAAAATATTTTTAGAAGACAAATATCATTATATTTGTAGATAATGAACTTACATCAATTACGCTAAGATTTACTCTCGTCATTTATACATTAAATTTTGTTATAAATAAATAAGATTCTTTTCAAATTATGACCCCGTTTCTGTTACAATTTTCCTATCAGTGTCATCGTTATCACAATTTCAGTTAAAATAGGGATTTTATTCTAATTCCGATATTATTATTATTACTAATATTATTACCACTACCATATACTTACGTGTATAGGGTGTCATGTCAACAAATGTGCTGATTCGTGGAGTCAGCCAATCAGCTACAACGTAGGGCGAGGCACATATATGCATCGATCAAAGTTACCACACCTCATTAACACAACAAGATGAACACCGAATTCATAGAAGTGGTTAATTCAGTGGTAGTAATATACAAAAGAAAGATTGCATATATGGACATAGTACAGGAAGAAATAATTAGTTCGTAGAAAGAAGGATATGAAGCGATTTTACTCTCATAGTTTAAAGGAAGACAGACAGTGTATACACCGACGCCATTGTGGTCGGTTCTGAGCCATATCATCCAGAGTCTCCAACCATTGGTTACGATAGTCATGCGGACCACAACCAAATAGTTTGTATCTGCCAACATGGCTGAGACTAGAAGTTAGTGACTTCAAGCACTGATGCCACGTTTTGGTTTGGCCGCCCCCAATTTTCTTCCAACCATTTCCAATACCGGATAGCATTTCACGTCGTGGTAATCGTTGTTCAGGCATACATAACACGTGGCCCAACCATCTCAGTAGATGGGGATTCACAACCTCATCAACTGATTTACCGTCATTCCCTAATACCCTGTGTTTAACCTCATTATTGCTTACCTGGTGATCCTAGCAGATGCGAGCAATATTTCTAAGGCATTTGTGGTCAAATACTAGTAGCTTACGAGTATCTTCTTCTCGTAATAGCCATGTTTTGCAGCCGTAAAGTAGAACAGAACAAACTGCTGCGCAGTATACTCGTCCTTTTATTGATAGACGGATAACTCGCCTTCACCATAGGTGACGTAAGTTGGAGGTTCGTAGAGTAGCTATAAATAACCATTTATTTATGAATATAATATTAAATAAATCAGTAGTAAGTAATAAGTGGAGAAAAAAAGATTATTACGATTTGACATGTTGTAGATGGTTTATAGTTATACGCCAGTACTGATATTTTCTTACTATCAATAATCAGAACGTAATAGTTGATCAGTTCGTAGTCTGTATATAGATTTTTTATGCTTTGATATTACTTCTAACTTAAAGTTGATTACATTTTGAACTATTGGCTAGACAATAGAATCTGGTTTAATTCTGTCATGAATGTTAACAATGAAAAAAAGAACCATTCATAACTAACAATAAAAATACCACATATATCAGGTATGAATAGTCTGTAATAAAATAAAGAATTATTTCATTTTTGTATTGTTTGTTTTAATCTTTGCACAATCTGTCAATAAGAGACTGATCAATTACAATCCTTAACATTAATGGGAAGATTTAAATAAACAATACAAAAATGAATTAAAACGTTGCTTTATTGTATGAGGTAGTGGCTATTTGGACTCAGTAGCTAAGTAGATAACGAGATAGCGTTTAGAGCGAACGGTATTGGGTTCGAGTCCCGAGGTCAACATTAACATCCAGCTGATGACTCCCAAATAGGATGAGACGTGTGCCCTGAATTTCACTGCTAGCCACCATCTATCTTTGCCTATAAAATAAGAAATTGTTGCGTATTTAGTTAAAGTAAGTAAAAATTATCAAGCGATCTCAATTAATTGAATATAATGGTTTGAAGAATAATAAAGTTTTATAATTTCTAGAAGAGACGTACTCATAAATGCGATTGTACAGCTTCAGAAGATGATACTGTCAAACAAGAAGAGAGTTTTTCATCTAAGTCATTTCTTCTAGAATGAATTTAATTTATCCAGCTGACAAGTTCAAATTGGGGTGAAACACGCGTCACGGATTCCACTGCAAGTCATTACCTATTTCTGCTTTTAATACAATTTTATTGTCACTGATCTGAATTATTATGATTTTATATTCATAAATTTTTTTATACAGGATCAATATTTGCAACGAAATCCTTTGGGATCAGTACCAGTACTAGAGAATGATTTGGCATTTGCATTTCATGCATTTCTAATTTCTTTATTAACAGCTTTACAAATATTATGTTATGAGGTAAGTTCAGTCAGTATTTTTTTGATTGAGATCATGAACCGATTGATGTTAGACCAACACAATTAAGAACCTGGGAGCACTGGACGGCCGTTTCGTCCTATTGTGGGACTTCTCAGCAGTGCGCATCCACTAGCCCGCTCTCGGGATTCGAACCCAGGGCCTTCGGTCTCGCGCGCGAACGCTTAACCAACTAGACCACTGAGCCGGCATCCAATGGTGATATTTTCTAACATCAACCAATCCACGAAATTGCGCGACCAACTTCCGTCGTACTGAGGTAGATACCTATCTCTACCCGACAAGGATTAGCTCCACTGGTCACGGTTTCTCACCAGAACTCCGAGAATTCCCTCACGAAGCTAGTCACTCGTGAGCACATGTTGATTACTAGTATAGGGGTTGTAGAGATTATTGGATGCCGGCTCAGTGGTCTAGTTGGTTAAGCGTTCGCGCGCGAGACCGAAGGCCCTGAGTTCGAGCCCCGCGAGCGGGATCGTGGATGCGCACTGCTGAGGAGTCCCACAATAGGACGAAACGGCCGTCCAGTGCTTCCAGGTTTTCAATTGTGGTGATCTAACATCAATCGGTTTATGATCTCAATCAAAAACTTAATAATCTCCACAACCCCTATACTATTATTTTTTTATTGTGGAGACTTTTTTAACTAATTGAAATACATTATTGTTTCATAGATTTGCCGATGAATTAGGTTAAGATCAGAGTAGTTTTAATTAGTCTGATCTTATTATTACATTCAATTTCCGTCAGTCAAATTTTCATAATAGTCATTAATAAATATAAGTTATCCTTTCATTTATCCCCCCAAGAGAATTCTGACGAAGTCGAACTATAATTTATTTTTAACTCGGTAGTAGTTTTGAACACAATATTAACACACCTTAATACTTGTAAAGTTTTCAGCAAAAAATAGATGAAGTATAAATGTGTTGAATTTCGAAGGGTTTATATTTTGCCATTATTGATATTAAGGATTGTAACTGATCAACCTCTATTGGTATATATGGATCTTGGACAAAACGACTTGATATTGACATTTAGTTACGAGTTTTTATTATCATCGGATACTGGTCTGCAGAAAAGTCAAAGATATGCCCTTCTCTCACTTTAGAACTCGTCAGCTGAATATATCTACATTCTAGTATTTATGTTTCTAATGAGACTCGAACCTAGTACCATCTATTTTGAGCACTAAATAAAACTCATAACCACTAAATAAGCTAGTGGCTACTTAGTATAAATATTTCAACGGATACTATGTTATCGTTTAAAGAGAAAGTTAGTGGGTTTAAGTTTCTGTATAGATACTGGCATTCAGAGACATCTGTTTAAGGAGTTCCAAATAAAGATGAAATCCTACTTCGGGATACTACTGCTGTGTAGTTTTAACAGTAAATGAAACTGTTTCCATCAGCCAGAAATTCAACTTGTTGATCAACTGCTAACTTAGTAAAATGTATACTTATAATATATTTGAGAATTTCAAATTTTCAGAATGCGGGTTTGTGGACATTGTAGTAATTTTAATAGTTGAGTTCATGAGTCGATCTGACTTAAACCACCACTGAAAACCCAGAAGCATTAGACGACCATTTCGTCCCGTCATTAGTGTACATCCACAATCTCACACGTGGGACTTAAACCCAGAATCTCTTTTCTCTCACATAAACGTCTAACCTCAAGACCATTGAACCGGCGCCTGACAGTGTTAATGTCTAATTTTAATTGATCCATGAAATGTTGTGCAACTTTTCATCCATTGTCTGATGTGGATAACTATCTTCACTCAACACGAGTTGAACTCTACTTGTCACGGTTTCTCATTAGAATTCCAGAAGTTACATCTTGAATTTACTTACTAATAAGTACATGATAATTATTATCCGAATGGAAGATTTGTGAAGATTGTAGTAATTTTAATAGTTGAATTCATGAATCGATCTAAGGATAAAATGATCATCTAGTGCTTCTAGGTTTCCTATGATTCATTTAGCTGGAATCATTTCATAAATTCAACAATATTAAATTTTAAAATAAGTCAAAATACTTCATCTTCATCTTCTTTAAATATGATTTGGTATGCCATACAAATTGTCATTATTATTATTTGTCTATTACAAAACATTTATGTAAGATCAAGTTCATTTATATTCTGAATAATATGACTATTAGATGTCATATATTGAATACATAATTTTAACTGTAATAATATTTTTGTAAATATCTATATGAAAATGATCGGTACTTTGTTATGTATATGAATAACTTGAATGTTTCTTATTGTTTATTTGAAATGTCATGTACAAGATCTCTATTATTATTGTTATTATCACTGTGGTGTATCATCGAGACAAAAACATTCTTCTCAAATTGATTGTTACATGAAATATGAAAAAAATATATAGAGAAAACATTCGATTACATCACTTTGAAATCATAATCTGATGATAAGGGGGGGGGAAAGAGATTATTACTATCAAAGTGATTATTCATTTTATTTTTATAGTCAAAGTTTAATAAATCACAAATGAATAACATGATGACGTTTGAAATGAATGGTATTAGGTTCAAGTCTTAGAGCAAACATTAACTCTAAGATACAGGGAAATCAAAGCGACAAATTCAAAATGGAACAGAACATGTGTTCTGAATTTCATTGATAACCACTATTCATCTCTGATTATAAAGTTCAATAAATCTATTTACGTTAAATAAGCTTAAAATAGTAAAGTCTAAAGTATCTGTAGATGATCTTCTGTTTGTGAATTTTCAAATAGAAGAGTTCAAAGGTGTCTGATTTTGATAAATAATCTATCTTTTTTTCTCCTTATTTTCAACGTTGCCATCAACATGTTGATATAAAGCAAAAGAACAAAAAAAAAACAAACTAATCATGAGATAATTCAAGCTCCGATTTCTAGTTCGTTAATCTAAATTCTTCTTTACAGAGAATAAAGTTTTCGTTTTGATCGAATTTTACTGATTTTTAATAATTGATCATGAAAATGTATACATGACATTTATGTTTTCTTACTCGTTAGTATACGGTTAAAATGACATAATTGTGATGTTAATTTGATCAATTGTTCTTAGTAAAGTACCGTAAATGATATAGAATTCAGTAGAACAAATAAGTTTGAAAAAATTTATTAATAAATCTACATGTTAAGATGGTTGTTAGAGGTAGTCAACAGGAAACCCTTGGACTCGGGTTTCGTGCTACTTGGCACTCGTCAGTAAGGTGTACCTGTAATCTTGAGGGAACTGGTGCTCCCTGACTGACTCTATCCAGTGTCACCCAGCTTCACAGTCAGAGACGTTACCACTAGGCTATCCGGGCCGTGACCGACCTCCTGTAAGACTGAGATGTAGTCACAATTGATTAATCACTGGTTGGTAACCAATACCATGTGTATCAAGTCCTTAGTGCAGATCGATAGCACCACCCCGTGATCAAACAATTGTGAAATCTACATGTTATTTGTTTGGAAGAAAACATTGTCGCTGATAAGTGAAAATAATACTAAGCGGTTAGATATGACTAACAGAAAACCATGGGTCAAGGTTTCATCCTGGTAAATAATTGTACTTGGAATCTTGAAGGAAATGGTGCTCACTGATGAATTCGAATCGATATTAACTAGTATCATAGTTGAAGACTGATCGCCAGTTTTACTGAAATATTTACATATAATTGATCATTGAGTAGTAAGCAAAATCAGAGAGTATTAATAGAAGCCGTTTAGCTCTAAATGCTAGAAAAAACATCAGATTTGTCACTACTCAGTGATTAATGAATTTCAGTGAATAAATCTTTGAAAATGACACAAGTTAATATGATCTATGATCATTGTTCTTTAAACACGTTTGTATTAAATAACCAGTTGTTATTATTTGAAACGGAATTAAATCAATCTATATTGAGATATGGGCTTCCTGTACAGATAATTCAATATTTAACTACATTTATAATTTGACTTTATTTTGAATAATACCTTAAAGTTACAAACTGTTATGCATCCTTCTTTGTATTTTGGAACCTTTTAAAGTATCTAGACTATCTAAGAATGAAAATAAACTTAAAACTAGCAGATATTTACACTACAATTGTTAATTTTCTTGAAATGCAAATGTTTCTTTGATATCAGATTAAACCAAATAGCAACAGTTTACATTTGGTACACTACTCTTCATATTTAAACTTTATAAAACCATTGTTTAAAGTTTGTAGTTATACCTGATGAGAAATAGTTAAATATAAATGTATTATCATTGATAATATGTTTCCATAACGATCACTTTTATTTATTTATTTATTTATTTTATTTTAACACGTAGATATTGGTACAAGGAGGCACCAAATACATATGCGCCACACAAATCTCATTTGATATGTGTGAGGGCTGTGATACTGCCCGGGTGCCCAAACCGAAGCAGGCGGTTTTCTTAAGGGGCCACACCTGGAGCCTTCAACCCAAAGGTCTGATCCACAAGGCAGTGGAGCATCATAAGGATATGCAGTCGCATGATAGCTGGTGACCAACGATTGGTTCATATGCCATTTGTCCCTACAGGATTCTGGAGCCCATGTGCACCATTGGTTTGGAATCAGGGTTTTCCAACTCCCCTAGGTGGACTCTCCATGTCCATCAACCCGTTAAAGCACCGGACGTTCGCTTTTATTCTTCTCAATTTCGTAAACAACACCTATGGTGTGAGAAGGTAGTGAGTAGGACTTCCTTGGCATGGTCTATATACGCGTGGCCATGTGAGAGCATTTCAAGAGGGAGAGCAAACTCTCATCACTCTCGGCCGTACCAGGGCATTTGGGGGCTCTAACGAGATTCGAACCCACGACCTATCAGTCTCACGCGCGAGCGCTTAACGACTAGACCACTGGGCCAACTTTATGTTAATAATTTATTTTCATATTATATATTGTAATCTATTATTCAGAAAACTATTATGTCATTCAAATGTTGTCACTATTATAATTAGTTTATTTTTGTTTTATTTTTCTAAAACAAAGAAATTATTTTTATATCCTTTTAGCGTGGTGGTCAACGTGTATCAAAGACATGTATAGGAATAATAATATTAATCATTATCTATACGATAATTGTTTGTATATTAGGCGGAGTTCATTACGTGGAATGGCTAGATACGTTCTACTTATTATCTTATGTTAAACTGTTTATCTCATTCATTAAATATGCACCTCAGGTAAGTAAACATGTGATGTAATTAAATAAACGGAATATTCATTTTATAATTTTATTGATGAAAGTTTTCTCAGTTCATTTAAAGTTATTTCTATCAGTAGTCATTCAGTTTTTTAGTCATAAATATGATGTCTTATTTTGTTATTTAAATATAATCCTATTGTTCAATCGTAGAAGTAATATTCCTTTCTTCAATTTGTATGGAATTGATAATTATGAGCACCAACTGTGAGTTACTTTCCTACTTACTGACACCTATTACTCCTCGTGAAACATAGGCTACCGATTAAGATTCCCCAACCAATTCTACCCAGGACCCTGCTTTTAAGTCGATGCCAAGTGCTAGTCATTCTTTTGATGATCTCTCGAATGTGTATCCATTCCACATTCTGTGACTCTCTTTGATTTCCTCTTCAATTGGAATCTGATTTGTCATCTGCCACCGTAGGTTGTTACAGATGGTATCTGGCCAATTGGTATTAAATATTTTGCGTAGAAAACTGTTTACAAATAATTATACCTTTTTGATGATAATTGTAGTAATTTTCAAAGTTTCATTTGTGTATGACAAAACCGTCTTTAGTTCCGTAATAAAAATTCTAACTTTGGTGTTGTCTAACAAATGTTTTGAGATGCAAATGTTCTTCAACTTTAGGAATTTTTAACTCCTGTTTTTCCAAAGGCAGCATAAAATAAAAAAAGGAACAGAACAGTTGTTAGCATGTTTCCTCTTTTTGTCTATCACTTGCAATAAATAAGAGACGAACACATTGGAATTCATGTATCTCACATATGATGGCTTCAGAAAAAAAATAGACTTGTAGCAGTTAAATTGTAGACTACCTGGTTGGGATCCGCGAGACGATAGTAACCAATGGCTAGAGACCTGGAATGAAATGACTCAAAATCGTTTGCAATGGCGCAGGTGCATCCACTCTTTGTGTTCTCCCGAATTCTAATCTTCTGTATTCTTCATGTCCTTTTTTTTCTCTTTCCAAATTTATTTCATTGTATTATACTCTTTAAGTAACATCTCCAAACACTAATCTTCCCGATTACTGCTTGCACTCTTATTACCTCTACCACTACGGGATTTGAATCGACCACTGCATCTCTGTGCTAATGTGGTATGGTAACTCAAATTGATGAACATACGTGTGAAGTTCTACATTGTTACTGACTGACTAAACGGTTTGTAAACTTTCTTGACTGAAGTTAAGTGTCGGATACTAACTATGAAACACATTGTGAAAATGTATTTTTTTAAATAAATAAAATTTGGAAATATGTTATTACAGTGATTTATTGATATATTGCACAATGAGTACTGAGAATTGCTTACCTTAACAAAATTTGTAAGGCTTTTCACCTATAATACATTATCAATCTTTAGTTGTTTTGTAGAGAGACTTGTAAAAATTAGTTCAAGTTTGATTTCTTTACTTGTATAGTATACTGTAACATATAAATTTAAACTTCAAGACCTTGCAATGTATCCAATCAATGGTGGCGAGGTTTTAACTTAGAAACAAATCAATGAGATTTACGACAAAATGTCTTGGTGTTTGATACAAAATTCACAACTTTCATATAGTTAAATACTATTTTGCCATTGTAGTTAATACCAATTCTCATTCCTAATTTTGATATTCCACTCTAAACATTAAATCTTGATCTATCACATTAATTTACAATATTCTTTTGCCACTAGTTAGTAGGTGAATATTTTTTAAAGGTCATTTTAACACTACTCATAGATTGTCTATTTTAACAAGTTACATTATGTACAATGTTTTTGATAGCTTATTACCTACAATTACTATATAAGAGACCATTCTATTAACATAAACTATTTAATTGATATGATTCCGAAAATTTTGTTTTCTATATTTCATTATCAAAGTACAAGTACAGTTTGGCTGATCACCAAAGTTAAAACAAAACAAAAAAAAACAACAACAAAATACAAACAAAAAAACAACAACAAAGAAACAAAACAACACAACAAACTGTAAACAAATCTAATGTAATTGATCATATTTTAGATTATACATTATCTATCATAGTATTATTCATTGATTGAATCATTTTAACAGTTACATTATTACTCAACGAATATGTCATGTAATCTAGTCGACGTTTAACCATAATATTTTGACTGATAAGTTGTATAGTATAATTACCGTATATTTATGTACTCATCACATGACGCTTACATTAATGTAGTAGTAGTAGTAGTCTATCTAGGAATTGTAGAACAATTTATTGAGACAGTGTTTTGTTTAAGTTTTTAGGATAATAATAATAATAATAATGATTATTATTATTATTATTATTATGAGGTACGTTTATCATGAAACGTTTGTTTTGGGATCTGTGAATGTGAAAGAAATACAGTTATGCAATAGCTTATCGATCGATAAAGACAATTTCTATTATCATATTGTTTGTATTCAAAAGAATAAATCCAATGACGAATGTAATAATACAAAATATCTTTCATCTGAACATGAATTATAAATAATAATGAATAAGAACTTTCGTCTAAATTTGATGGAATAGTTTCACAGTATTTGGGCGCCGAGTTAATGTCAGACATCAAAAAGAGGGAGAATGTAATTGTAAAATCTCAGCGAATGAATTTTGAAGTAAATCCAAGCTATTTCAAGGAAATATAATCAAACACCAAAATTATCGAATATAAATAGGTACATGGTTTTCCGGTTGACTGTATACTGAATAGGTCATCCAATCAACATTATCAATGTTTAAAGTAGGTATTTACATTAGTGTGTAAGAGACATGTGGTGTGAAACGAAAAGTGTTAAGATAGCAGATTGTGTGTATACGTAAGTGAGAAGAAATTTCATTCATTATATAGTATCTCTGGTCGGTGAATTTTAAGGAAATGATTTGAATCAAAAATGCCACAGCATGCATCAAAAGAAGATAAATAAACACGATAAACGAATGAATCCAAAAAGGAAGAATTTATAATTGAAAGTTTGTGTTATTTTAATGTTCCAGTCAATTGTTTAACATATTCAGATAAGATAACTGATTTGAATCGTTGAACCTTGAAAAAGCTTGGACTAGGTTGCCAGGAGAAACGTTGGATTTACTTCGAAATTCATTCGCTGAGATCTTATAAATGTATTAATAGCTTTTGACTTATTCTTTTTCCATCGGGAAGATACAGTAAAATAGATGTTTGTTATCACTGTAGTAGAAAATGAGTAAATATATTTCATTTTTTGGCGATTTGTGGTGTGCTATTGAGAATTGATCATTGAAGATGTAAGTTAGCTTCAGATACACACAAGAGGTTGAAAAAATGAAAGTGGATATTTAAAAAAAGAAGATGCTTTTACTGAACTGATCTGGTTTATTTCGATCTTTATTTTCTAAATTTCATTTTATCTCAGTAATTATCTAACTAGGATACGTTTAATGAAAGATACTGTTTGATAGTGAAATGAACATATGAATAAATGAAACATTTAGATATAGGATCAAACTAATTTATAACTCATTGTTTTTTTTTCTACGTTCGAAAATTGAATAGAGCATCATTAAAAAATAGCATCGTATACTTACTTACTTACGCCTGTTACTCCCAATGGAGCATAGGCCGCCGATCAGCATTCTCCAACCCACTCTACCCTGGTCCTTCCTTTCCAGTTCTGTCCAATGTTTGTTCATTTTTCTCATGTCTGTCTCCATTTTTCGGAGTAACGTGTTCTTTGGTCTTCCTCTTTTCCTTTGGTCTTGAGGATTCTATGTGAGGGCTTGTCTTGTGACTCAGTTGGATGCTTTCCTCAATGTGTGTCTTATCCACTTCCAGTGCTTCTTCCTGATTTCTTCCTCTGCTGGGATTATATAATACTCATGAATTTGACGGAATTTAGAATGAATGTTAAGAAGGAGAGTAAAAATCAATTCACTTATCAATATGGGATTGTGAAGATTGATGAGTCTTTGATTGAGATTGAAAACCTGAAAGAATTGCATGGCCGTTTCGATCTAACATTACGCATTCACGATCCCTCACACGAAACCGAAAGTCCTGAGTTTGAATCCCGTGTGCGGGATCGTGAATGCATACTACTCAAGAGTCCCATACTAGGACGAAACGGCCATCCAATGCTTTCGGGTTTTCAATGATGGTCTAACATTCATCAATTTATGATCCCATAAAATAAAAACTCAATTCACTTACTTTGCCAACAAATTATGCTCTCAATAGATAATTATAGTATAAAGCCTACCTCAATCTAACAAATGAAATTTATTTTTATTTAAGTTATTCATATTTTTTAGATGAATCATTAAACACTTTGTATTTAAAAGGTTAAGAGCAAAGTGCCGTTAAAACACATTTGATTCTAAACCAATTTATAAATATGACAAAGTACAGATCGTGCTAAAATGTGGTCTTATAGCTTGATAGATATTTTAATAAAACGCTATACACTCATATATATATAATATATATAACCCATTTTCCAACTACGTCGGAATAACAATCTGCTGAATAAAAGTTAGCACCATGGATGATCAATCAAAGTATTGAATACAAAACGCATATACATTGGTTAATAGCTAATAAAAAAGCGCTAGCAGATTGAATATATCATGGTAACAAATATTTATAAATCATAATTAAAATCTTCAAAATGTCAATTCTATTTATTATGATAGAATGTTATGAATAAAACATATTGAAAGGTGTATAACAGTAGGAAGTTGATGATCACTTAATGAAATACATTAACTTATAGAGTGATTGAAATACGTTATTGATTAAAAAACTGTTACATGTAGAAGAAGTGATGTATAGTTAGCTTCAATAAATATGTAAATATTAAGATAGACAATACTTACTTACTTACTTACTTACGCCTGTTACTCCTTATGGAGCATAAGCAGCCGAACAGCATTCTCCAATCCACTCTGTCCTGGTCCTTCTTTTCTAGTTCCATCCAATTCTTGTTCATTTTTCTCATGTCTATTCCCATTTCCTGGCGTAATGTGTTCTTTGGTCCTCCTCTCCTCCTTTGGCCTTGATGATTCCATGTGAGGGCTTGTCTTGTGACGCAGTTGTGTGCTTTCCTCAATGTGTGCCTTATCCACTTCCAGTGCTTCTTCCTGATTTCTTCCTTCGCTATGATCTGGTTGGTTTTTTCCCACAGGAGGTTGTTGCTGATAATTTTTTCTGGTTAGCGTTTGTTTAGCGAGTTAGTTTTCTACGGGATGTGTTCGCTAACCCCATGCCCAACCCTCCTCCTTTATCCAGGCTTGGGACCAGCAGTAGCCCTCGGAGAGACTCCAGGCGGAAATATTCTGCTGTAAACATTTTGCCACAAATAACTTCATTATGACAATATAGAATTATTATCCATTGGTTTAATTAATTGATATTGAAAGATCAATGTATATATGTTTGCCTGATGTGTGAGTTACGAAATTGATTGTGTCAATTTTAGTCATTTAATCTGTTAGTTGTAAATTTGAACATCTTTTGACATATTTGATCTTGAGCACTTATTATAAAGTATCACATGGTTTCACAATAATCATGTGTCTGAAAGTTATATACCAAAAACATAAACCTGGTAAATGAGTTACATTACATTGATGTTTTTTTCAATCCTTTCATGATGAATTCTTATAGTTAAGTACAGTAATATTATTCAAGTCATTATAATCATTTTGTCCAGTCATTGGCAATAATATTATACTTTTTACAGTTGAACTCACAAACTCATCTTGGTTAGACCACTAAATGGCTATGCTCAGCTGCGGTCCCGCAGGTGGAAATCGGACTCAGAACCCTTAGTCTCGTGAGTAAACGCTTAACCTATAAACTATTGAGTTAGTATTAAGCGATTTCAGTGTTTAACTTCAATCAATTTATGATCGTGCATAAGCCTTCATCCATCACCTGCGGTGGGTAACAGTCTCACACCCTACATAGATTACCCTCCGTTGGTCACAGCTCTTCACCAGAACGTCAGCAGTTACATTTTGAAGTTAGTCACTTATGAGAGTGTGATTGTTATTAGTATGAAGGATTTCAACTGTAGAAATACTGCAATCTCCACCACTATTCGCCATACGGATATTATCGTTGATAGATGAGCACTTTTTATACTTTATAGAGTTTATTATCAAAAACTGTCTCAAGTGGATAATCATGTAGATATTATTTTCTGTGATTTATTTCCAGGAATCTGTTATTTTGATTTGGTTTATTAAGAAAGAAAGACAAAGTTTGTTTATTTGCTTAATATGAATAATTCATGATAAAAATATATAACTCGGATACGGGAACATATCCCGGCTTGGTTTTATAAGGGTGAAAGGAAAGCAGTTAGGAGTTCTATACTTGAACACCTAATCGACTATAACCATTCTACAGATACACAAATTGACTTTAAGGTTGTTTATTTGATTCATTCAAATCTACCCAGATTTCTTCGTATCCAGTTTCAGTTTGGGAAGGACAGGAGGCCTGATGGCCTGTGTTAGTCCTGGCAATGGTGGTCTCTCAGTTGATCCAACTTTCTTTTGAAAGAATCGATGGATGGAGCCTCAACCACGTGCTGGGGTAATGAGTTCCACTCGTTGATGATTCGACGGGAAAGTCGATAGTCAGCTGACAAGTTATTTGTTCTCGGCTTATGAACTTTTTTGGAGTGTCCTCGTAAATTCTCTGTTTTGGAAGACAAGAAAAATGAGGGCATGTTAGATGCAAATTTATCACTAAGCAATTTGTAGACTGCAATCAAGTTGCCTCTAGTTCTGCGATATGACAACGGGAAAAGGTTCAGCTTGGCCAGTCGAGATTCATACGGAAGCTTCGCTATTCCGGGAACCAGCTTAGTCGCCGTTCTCTGAACCTTTTCCAGGAGCTCACTGTCTTTTTTTAAGC